TGTGTCCACACTTTGTTCCTCCCCCTTCAAAGAAAAATGCTTTTCATTTTGATGCTTTGTGCAAAATGGGAGAGGGAATGTTTATTTTTTATTTGTGTGCTGTTAAAATAGTGTGTGCATGTGGAGGAGGAAAATAATTTAATAGTACAAAAGGCAACCAAAAGGGAATTATGTTCTCTGCTAGACGTCTTCTGCTCGCCCCCAGACTCATTTTCCACTTCTGTGGCACTAGCCCGGTTCTTTGGTCCTCTGGCTTGTGGGTGGGTTGCCCCCTGGGAGACGCTGGCTAACAAACAGAGGAAAAGAGCAAGGAGCATCCAGAGCACTTACTCCCTGGGCATCCTTCTTGCAAGGTAGCCTCAGACTGAACCCTTCAACCGTAGGTCACTGCTGCCCTCCAGGAGGGCTTCTCAACATGATCTTTCCCCTTCACGGTGCTGGTAACTACTCCCTCCCCTGGGCCCATAAAGGGTAGGAGTGGACACAGTCTCATTGATTCCATATCTGAGCTAACTCACTCTCTCCTGTGCTCCACTGTGCCCACACCTGTGTAAATAGTCCCTTTGCAAATACCCACACCCTTCCATTTTCTTCCTTTGGGCCTGCCGCACTCCCACGCTTAATCTCTCTAGTGTGATTGTGCTCTACTTCAGAGAGACCGTTGGTACAGTTTCCTGTGTATCCTTCTAAACTCTCTCCCTCTTTCTCTCTCTCTCTCCCTCTCCCTGCCCCTCCTCCTCTTCCTCCATCTCTCTCTTTCCTTGTCTGACTCACAAATGTTAACATATGATTCTCTTCTTAGGAAAAAAGTCTTTGAAAGTATCTCAGGTGTGGTTTGCACGATTTCTACCAATCCGCTCAGTGTCTGTTACTCTGTTCAGTGACTTTGTTCAAGTTGTACAAAAAGTATCTGTGACTCCTTTGCTCTGTGGTATCTATTTGATGAGTGGAGGCCAGTTTCTGACTGAAGACATGACATTGACAATAGATAAGAAGACCAGAGGACAGTGAACTGGGGGTCATTAACCCTTCTGCTCCCTCCCTGCCACGGGGTCTCAGTTGGCTGCTTTTATCCCTAGATGTCCACTGCTCCATTTGGGCGGCTTTCTTTGCAGGTTGTCTTTCTGCTAAGTCTTCTCTCCTTCTCTTCCCTTCAAGTCCAGATATTATGACAACTTTGTTATCTAGAGTATGTCAGAGTAATACGTGTAACATAACCTTATACTTACTGTAACTGAGTAGTGCTGTAAGAACATAACACACACCACACACACATATGCACACACATACATGTATCTACATATATATGTATGTATATATACAATTACAATATACCTGACACATTTTCACTTAAAATATCTCATTTCATTATCATACCCACATGTGAAACAGGCATTGCTATCACATTTATTTCTTAAAAGAGGAAACTAAGGTTCATACAGATTGTGCTAGGTTTCAATGTAGTAAATATGTATAGTCACATATGTAGTAAAGTGTGGACAAGAATTCTAAACCCAGCTCTGCCTGACACACTGGATCTGGGGATGAATTTTTTTAAGTCAAATATTCTTTATTGTTTTTGTTTTGTTTTATAATCCTTTAAGAATATAAAATCCATTCTCAGCTTAAAGGCTTACAACAAGATGAGGACTAGATCTGCCTCACAAGCCACAGTTTGTCAAACACTGAATACAGACAACGTTCTTGTTCTTAGGAAATACTCAGTAAAGCATGTAAAGGTACAGAATTGTGGTATGTACTTTAACTGTCAAGTGATTCAGCAAAACTAATAATTATATGTGAAAGAGAAATATAAGACAAAATGTTCATAATTGATAAATCTGGGTGAAAGATAAGGGGAGTTCACTCTATTATCCTTGCCACTTTGTATAAAGTTTGAAAATAAAAAATGGAAAGAAAAATATAAAATGGAAAAGTCACAGATGGCCCTAGGAGGGTTGAACCCAAAAGTTTCGCTGCACAGGCACAGGAGATGATTCAGTGGTTCAGACAGAGAAGAATGAAAAATCTCACAAAGCGAAAGTCATCTAGTCATCAAGGTCATTTCAATACGTACTCGTGGGTCCAAAGATATCTAGATTCTCCTCCCATGACTAGCAAACTCCGACGAGGCAAGGTAACTTGCACTGTGACACCATCTGGGTGCTTAAAATCCATAACAACGTCTGACCCCAAGATCTCATCCTCAAAAGCAGAATGTGTGTCAACATGGGCAGGAATTCCTGACCCAGGTTCGTACTGATTTACGGTCAACTGATCAGGTTTATGTTTAATGTAACCTTCTGCTAACTATGTCTCCAGATAGCTATCACAAATATCAGGAAGACCCTCAGGAGATGGCTTATCTTTATCTATACTGTTATTTTCATAGTGGAATTCATAACCAAAATGCTTTACTTGTCTGTGTTTTAAAGACTTTTGAAAGTTTTGATTGTCTGTATCTTCTGCCCAATTAATGATTTCAAAACCATGCTCTCATCTTCAGAAGAAACAATTTCTTCTACTCCTGTAAGACCTGGAGGTAAGGCTTAAAGCCCCAACTCCTTCCACTGAGTTTTTTCCACAAAATTCAAATACAGAATGACCCTTTGTCCTAAATCAACTATTTCTTTTCCATTGAGAAAAGCATAAACATTCATGGACTCATCTATGGTTTTGTATCTTACAAACGAGTAGGGCTTGTTAGGTGGCATTAAGAGAGCTTCCACACGTCCACATTTCTCTGAAACCAGGAGCAGCTGCTTCCTACTCATGCCATTACCCAACCACCATTGGCAACAATCAGGCTCTGAGTGCCATGGATACTGAGTCAATAGCTTCACATCTCAGCAAGGTATGCCTGGCTTTAATTTGTTTCCTTAAGAACTTCTCAGTTTTACTGAGTTTGAAATTACTTTGATGGTTGATCTCTACAGCAGTACACAGAGTCTTCTTCAATGCTATGAAGCAGAGCACAACAACAGTTAGGAGTCCAAGTTCCAGGTTTGATTCTTAGCTCTAAAGCACACTGGAAGAGCTGGCAGCTGTATGATCCTGGTTGAGTTAATTACATATCTCTGTGCTTCAGCTCCCAGGAGTGGCTATGTTGGCGACAGCCCTGGGAATGAATGTTAATTTGTGCCCTCAATAACAAATGATTTTTTAAATTTCTGTAACTTGAATGTATTTTGATGTAAACTTATGAATGGAACTGAAATACATGAGCAGAAAAAAGTCAAATCATAATGTGTACCATTTAATGTTCACAAAGTGAACACACCTTGAGAATTACTACTCCAGTCAAAAGATAGAGCATTGTCAGTAATATAAACCTTCCTGAGGTGGGGGAGCTCCTAATTACCATTGCCCTCTCATTCTCAAAGATAGTATCTATCCTCTTTTTGTCTTGATCTAGCATAAAGTTATATGTATCTATTGTGTACTTAAATTCATTTATTGCACTATATAGTTGTAGACTTACCAGCCAGTGTATACAGAGATTGAGTGAATCCTGCTTCTTGTAAACACTAAATAAATTTAACCTATGTATATGAAACAAGACCATTTAGAACACTGAATATCAGTCAGTGAAGGATGGTAACCTCCAAGAACTAGGAAACAAACTAGCTGAGCTTTGCAGTTGTCCAGTTTATGAAATGGAGAATATTTCTAGAATTCAGTGTAGGGAAAGACATCCTTTGCTTTTGGGTAGGAAAGAACCTATATAATGAAAATGGCCACATTTCAAAAACTGTTATACAAATTTAATGCAATTCTGATCAAAATTCCAATAACATATCTCACAGAATTAGAGAAAACAATCATAACATTCATCTGGAACCAGAAGAGACCTAGAATAGCAAAGGCAATCCTGAGCAACAAAGGTAAAAGAGAGGGGCATCCCAATTCCTGACTTGAAATTATACTATTAAGCTGCTGTGATAAAAACAGCATGGTAGTATCAAAAAACCCAGAAGATTAGTGGAACCAATTAGAAGGTACAGAAATAACTCTAGACATCTTTGTCTTTGATACCTTATCTTTGACAAAGGTGCCAAACACATTCATTGGAAGAAAGATAGCCTTTTTAATAAATGGTGCTGGAAAAACTGGCTCTGCACATGCCAAAGATTAAAGTTTGACCCATATCTTTTATCTTGCACTAAACTAAATTCTGAATGGATCAAAATCTAAATATTAAAACAGAAACATTAAATCTACTGGAAAATAAAGTAGACAAAACTCTTGAAGACATTGATATAGGCAAATACTTTATGAATAAACCCTAACCAAACAGGAATTATCACAAAGAATCAACAACTGAGATTTTATCATGTTAAAAAAACTTGTGCACAGCAAGACAAACCAACAGAGACAACCCACAATGTGAGAAATACTGTTTACCAGACGTTCCTCAGACAAAAGATTACTATTTAAGAACATTTAAGAATTTTAAAAATCAGCTCTCCCAAATTTAAATACCTAATCCAAAACTGGACATAGGAGATGAATACATACTTCTCAAATGAAGAACTATAAACAGCAAATAAATACATGAAAAATGTTCAACATCGCTGGTTATTCGAGAGATGCAAATTGAAACAACACTGAGATTCCTCCTCACTCCTCAAAGAATGGATACAATCAAGAAACTGACAAATAACAAATGGTGGAGGGGCTGTGGGGGAAAAGAAAGCCTTCTCCACTGTTTGTGAGAGTGTGGACTAGTGCGATCACTCTGGAAATCTGTGTGGAGATTCCTCAAAAAGCTAGGATTGGAGGTCCCAGCTATTCCCCATATGAGTATCTTCCCAGAAGAATTGAAAACATCAGACCACAATGACAGATGTGCAACCATGTTTATACAAGCATGATTTGTAATAGGATTGGAAACAACATAAATGCCAATCAACCTAAGGGCGAATTAAAAATGATGTGATATTTTTATACAATGGAGTACTACTCAGACTTAAGGATACACAAGATTTTTTTTTTTTTTTTGGTGATACTGAGGATTGAACTCAGGACCTCGTGCATGCTAGGCAAGTGCTTTACCACTGAGCTATACCTAACCTAAGACTCTTATAGTAAATGGATGCAGCTAGAGACCATACTCAAAAGTGAAATAAATCAGACTAACCCCAAACCTAAGACTCTTATAGTAAATGGATGCAGCTAGAGACCATACTCAAAAGTGAAATAAATCAGACTCAATGTGTTAACATTGTATTACCTCCTCAGTATGAAAAGCTGAAAGAAATTACATATATATATATGACAGTTGCAGTACTAATTTCTCTTAGTTCATTGAAAATAAAAGTTTGTGGTAGTATTGTAATATTGTTTGGACAATTACATGCAGTATCTTGTACTCTGAGTAACTAATTTAAAAATAACAATATGCAATGCATTAAACATTGCTACCCTCTAATTATCTTGTTTTGAAATTTGGGAGTTTTTTCTCTAAAATAATATTTTAAAAAATGAATTTAGAGTAGAGAGTCCAAGGAGGCAAGGTAGTGCAGATTCATAGAGCAAAGTAGCAAGAAAATTGAGCTACACAGCAACAGATTTTAAGTGTTCTTCTGAAGGAAACCCTCAAACACCCATCTGAGTGTTGGCAAAAACATATGTGTGAGGAAAGCAGCTGAAGCTATGAAAAATCCAATCTGAAAGAATTAGAGTGAGAAATACCTAGATCAGCTGCAGGGGCAGAAATATCATCTGTCCCAACTAATCAATATGGAAAAGGCTCCTAATTTATGGTGCAATGAACAGAATATGTAGAAATGTTTGTCTCAGGAATGGGGCAAGATTAGCACAAAATTAACAAGGCTTAAAAACAAGATCTGAAATGATCAAACTTAACTACGTCTTAGAACAAAGCTCATGAGCATATATAAGAATACGAAAGTATCCAGCACCCACCAAGATAAAAGACACAGTACCTAATATCCAATCAAAAATTATCCGGTACCAAAAAAAAAAAAAACCAAAACAGAATAAAATGGGCCACAATAACTTGAAAATCAGTCCATTGAACTAACTCAGAAATGAAAAATTTTAATAAGCAAAGGTAATTAAAAGTTAGTATATAGATAGAGGAAAGAATAACTATGTTAGGTAGAGATACAAAGATTTGAAAAGACTTAAATTGAACTTCTAGAAATGAAAAATACAAGTGGAATTAATGAATTTCTTGGAGAAGGAAAGATTACTGAATTTGATGATACAGTAATATCTATTTTCTTGGACATATTTTATCACTATTTCATCTCTATTTTAAATCTATATCTGATAACTCTAATATCTGGATTCCTTTGATAAAGAAGAAGAAAAGAAGAAGAAGAAGAGGAAGAAGAAGAAGAAGAAGAAGAAGAAGAAGAAGAAGAAGAAGAAGAAGAGGAAGAAGAAGGAAGAGGAGGAGAAGGAGGAGAAGGAGAAGGAGAAAAGAAACCAACTCACTAACAATTCTAAGTGACCCAATTTGGGCAACATCTGTACTCATCAGTTTATCATTACTCTAATGAAATGCCTGAAGCGGGCTGCTTTAAAGGAAAATAAGTTTATTTAGCTTTTGGTACTAGCAATTCAGAAGCAAGTCATCAGCATGAGTTCAGCTCTGGTGAGGGCCTGGTGGCAGAATGGCATACAATAGTGGAGCACATGCAAGAGTAAAAGAATATATCTCAAGATAGGAAGACAGTGCAGTTCAGGAGTCAAGCTCACTTTTATAACTCACTCCTACAAATGCTAACTCAGGGGTTCCATGAGCACTACCTTAATCCTTTCAACGACTTGAGGACCAACACATGAGCTCTTGCAGGGGGAAACAACATCTAAATGATAGCAACAACCTTCATCTTTATTGAATCACTGTAGTCAGAAGGAAATGGTGTTTGTGTTGTCCAGTGTTGCTTGATAAGCTCATTCCTGTGACTCGCAAAAGAATCTCATAATTGAGGATGGGGCCAGTTCCCCAGTAGGTATATAGGTACTGGACTGGAAAAGCAATAAATATCTACCACATAAGGTCTTGGCTATGTGTCTGTACACTAGGCTCCCACAATAGGATGTGGACATTTAACTAAAATTGATCTCTAAGTTCTGCAATCAACAAAACATTCTCGTATCTTCTAGATACTGCATCTCATAGAGACAGAATAAGAGTAGACTTTTCTGTCCAGTAATATGGAACTGATGGATTAAACAAACTGGAATAAACCATAAACTGGAACTCCATTTTCTCAAGCAGTCATATCAAAATCATATGAAAATGCATCTATAAGATGGAGGATGTTTATTGTGGAAAAACTGACTGAAAAACAGGATAGGTGGAGATGCCTACCCTGTATATTAGAGTCACCAAGAACCTTATTTTTATTTAATTAAAAATTCAGTGATGCTTAATATTTAATTTTAAGTCACTGATTCTGTTCAGCTGCAATCTTCTGTTATCCCGTTTCCAGTAAAATGCTACTATGCTCTGCTTTGAGAAATTACAGAGGCATTAATAACTTGAGTAGAGAGAAGAAGGAACTCAGTCAAGATGAGTGGTATATTAATTTCCTGGGGAAGCTCTAATAAATTACTATAAACCATATGGATTAAAACACAACTTTTATTATCTCTATTCTAATGCTAGAAGTCCAAGGTCAAGGCTTTGGCAGAAACCAGCCCCAGACTCTCTAGGCAAAATCTAGAGGCAGGTCCTTCCATGTATCTTCCTAGATTTCTAACGTTTGCTGTTGGTACTAGTGTTCCTTGGCTTGTACATATATTTCTCTGATCTCTGCTTCTACCATCACAGGAGATTCTCTTCATGCATCTTTTGTCTCAATGTCTAAATTTACCTCTCCTTATAAAGACAGAGATCATTGGATTAGAGCCCACCCTAATCTAGTATAATGCAACCATTTATAAAGAACCTATTTCCAAACAAGGTTAAATATACACAGATAATGGCATTGAAGTCCTGAGCATGTTTTATTATGCTACAATTCTACTAAATTCTAGAGAACAGGCTGGAGTGTATAATGAGCAAGAAATTTTGAAGTCCTTGTAAGTTCATGGGAAGACTTGGAAGGAGATGCCTTCCTTCTTGGGAACAGGTTTGTGATCACTTATTTGGATGTTAACCACAGGCTTCTCCAGAAGGTTTGAGAAATTAGCCTTCCTGGTGACTTGAAAATCACAACTGTCTCATTGTCTTGAGAATTTGTGGAATTTCTAGATGTTAATCCACATTGCTCTGCTGAACTAATCACAAGCACATGCATAAACAACTTATTTGTGAAAGGTCATTAAGATAGCATGAGAAGACGTGGACATAAATCACTGAACTTGAATTTTAAAACCTTGCTTTTCAAAGAAACGCCATCATTAATAAATTACTAAATCCTAGAGTTTGCTTCCATTTCTACATTTGTAAAATGGAACTTACAGTTCCATAATTTCCATCTGGCCTACCTCTTGGGATACACTGACATGAAGCATTTAAAATTGGAAGCCAAAGTTCATGGAAGTATCTTGAATTCCATCCTACATCTCCAGGTGATGAAACTCAAAGAATTCACCACATTTTTTCCTCTGGTACTATGCAGGATGAAACAAAGTAATATAGAAGAGGAGAGGCCGGTTCACATTACATTTTCTTCTCTTCTTATCTAAATCCACCGTTTTCCTTGGACTGCACTTTGAGAGGAGGGCAGGCATGGATGTGGGCCCAGAAGCCCCCAGGGAGAAGACAGCAAGCACTAATCCTTTAATCTAATGAAGTACTGGTATCCACGGAGGTGGTGCAAATGCACATTATCCAGTGGCATTTCGTACTGGAAGCAATTCATCAATAGATTGCCAGCTACCAGGTGTCAAGGGAGCCCCAAGTTTTATTCTTGCCCTAGGCGCCATAATTTGTAACTCCATTGCTGACATTTTAGTAAAATTGCCCAGAAGGAGAACTCTGGGTGCTAGATGCAACACAGAAAAGCATATTAAAGAGATTCAAAAAAATGAGTTTTCCAATAGATTTTTAATGCCAAACATATGTATTACTGACTGAAATTCAAGTGTTTACCAGATTTTGAGATTTCACTTCAGCTATCCCAGCTGGTGTCTGACACATTCCAAAATTTTTCTTCTACTTGATGACATCTATTTTTAATCCCTTCAGATGCCTTTCTTCCCGGCAAGTTGGGAGGACAGGATGCCTGTCGCTTTGCGTCCTTCAGTTCATATTTTGCATAAATCAATCAGGAATTAAGAATTAAACAATCACTTCGTATCTCGGTTGTCAAATATTTCACTGTTGGGGAATGTATTTGCATATGTGAACATATGTTGGCCTCTCAGTGTCTAAGGGATGTAGAGACTGTCTAGAAATTCTTTAAAATATCCATGAAAGCCACAACACAAAGGAGATTATGGGACCAGATGATCAAAGCCTGCAGGAAGCCCATGTAATGCGATGTGGGAAAGGGGAAAATTCAGGGGCTTGGATAGTGATCTGTAGCTTAACTTCAAGGCCTGGCTCAAGTTCAATCTCCCTGATAGCTACCGTCAGCCATGAGCTAGGCTGGGGGCCCTAGAAGCAGAAATAAGGGCTTGAATATAAGTAATTTACTTGGGAAGTCATCCAGAAGGACCAGAAGAAATTGGAAAGAAGTGGGACTGAAAAAAAAAAAAAAAAAACAGCGAGCCTGAAGTGACTCGAACTGGTGAGCGAATACCAGCTGGGGTCTACGGAGTTGCCCACAGATTGTTCCTCTACAGAAACTCAAGAGCAATGCAGATCATGCCTTAGAAATTGAGGTGATGAGTCACTTACCTCTGAACTTCCATCAGTTATTGCAGTATAACTGTTCCTGGGGGTGTCCATAATCTTGAACGTCCAGTCTGCTCTACCGCAAGGAAGAACACAATCCTCTATGGCCCTGGGGTTCCCAAACTATGCATCAAGGTGTCTGAGAGTGCTACAGGAAACTCACAAAAAAGCACTATTTTTAATTTTTGAAGGAAACAGAGATATCTGTTAAACCTTATATGAATCACTAGTAGCTCAAGTGTTGTAGATGG